GAATAGTGCCCACGGAGTGAACGATATACCGGTTGTCGGCGTGTGTCGTGCATTGATGATACAAATCGGTGGCCAAACATATATTACCCGTACGGTCCACACCAGTGATCACTCCCGTCGCGTAACTATTGGCAATATTTGTTGGGTTCCCGATCGCCAGCACCGGTTCGCCGAGTTTGGGCACCACGTGGTCGTCGATTGCGAGGGCCGACAGTACGCCGGGCCTGACGTGAACCCTAATCAGCGCCAAATCGCAGTGTGCCTTAACGTACAGCACTCGACCCCTCAGCGCTTTTATCTTATCGGTGCTTCCGGTGTGGCCGTAACTGAGCACCGATTCGTCGTATGATTTGTTGAAATGTATGCTTACGTACGGCTGGTCTTTGACCACATGGCTGTTGGTGACGATCAGTCCCGTGTCGTCCACTATAACACCGGTTCCACCCCCTTCTTCCGAAGCTATCATCACTATTGATGGCAATACTCTGTCGTATATCTGTCGCATTGGGTGAACAGCCGTTGCGCTCATACGGGCCCTCCTTATGGGATGTTGTGGTTTGAATTGACTATTGGACCCATTGTTGTGGTGACAGTTTTGTTCATGAAACAGATAATTGCCGCCAATTATGGCAATAGTGGTCACAAAAGGTACACTAATTTCACAGATAAACAGATTTAATAACAAATTAATTGAAATCAATTGACAAACCTATTCTTATATTTAATCAATAAACCTTTTAATTGAGACATTAATATCAATAATAACTAAAATAATTGAAAAATATAAGTTGTAAAACAAAATTATAAATTGTTTTTTTTTCAAATATAACGATAAATTTGTAAATTGTCGTGCACATAATACACAACCAATTTTAAATAATTATTGAACGTGTTTATAAAATGATAACTTTATAATTTCTATTATTGTATTAATTTTATCAATTAATTCTTTACTAAGTTATAATAAATTATAATAAAATAGTAAGTTATAACTTATTAGAAATGGTATTAATTAAATAAAATAGAAACAAGTACATTTTATAACAAGAAATATAGTATATTTTTATTTTGATTAAAACATTTGGTAAAATATAAATTGAGTATAAATTTCAATACAACTAAAATGAAGAGCATTTGTGACGATCGCCAGTAAACGGCTTAAGACTGACGACAATCTCTTCGCCATTACGGGTCACCGAAAGGGTTAGTGTCTGGCCATCGATCATACCATTCAAGTGGTCCTTCAACTGGCAAATGTCAGTCATGGGAAGGGCGCCGATGGCTGTGATTATATTGTTTAGTTGTAGACCAGTTCTGCGACAGACAATTACAAATTATGTAAATATTGTAACAAAAATAGTGACATAAAACAACAAATACAGAGTGTTTTGATTCAATGGATTATCAAAGCCAATGTTAATCACTTCAAATGAATTATCCGATTGTTTTTCCAACAAAACTCCCAACGATTTACGACTTTCTGTCAAATATTTACTTTCATTTAATTGTTTCTCATATTTAAGACCCCTTTCGATAAATTCTGAGCACAAATCACATTAAAATTAAATTAAAATTAAATATTTTACAAAATAAACTCTCCATACGTTTAACATCGGAGGCATGGATTGCCGTGCGATCGCTGTATTGACCGGAAAAGTTGATACCAATAAGATTGCCGCTCGAGTCCAGTAGTGGTCCGCCCGAAAAGCCGTGAATAATAGGCGCCGAGTGGACGATATACCGATTGTCGGCGTCTGTCGTGCATTGATAATACATTTCAGTGCCCAAACATATACTGCCCCTACGGTCCACACCGGTAATAACGCCCACGCAGTAACTAAAAATAATATTATCAGGGTTACCGATGGCGAGCACCGGTTCGCCCAGTTTGGGCACCACGTGGTCGTCGATTGTGAGCGTCGACAGTAGGCCGGGCTTTACGTGAACCCTAATCAGTGCTAAATCGCAGTTTGCCTTACAGTACATCACTCGACCCCTCAGTGCTGTCACTCTGTCGTTGTCGTCGGTGTGGCCGTACATGAGCTCCGATTGAGTAAATGCTTGTCTCAAATGTATGTAAACGTATGCCTGGTCTTTGACCACATGGCTATTGGTGACAATCAGTCCCGTGTTGTCCACTATAACACCGGTTCCCGAACCCTCTTCACTACTTATGACCACAACGGATGGCAATACTCTTTCGTATATCTGTCTCATTGGGTGATCAGCCGTTGCGCTCATACGGGCCCTCCTTATGGAATGTTGTGGTTTGAATTGACTATTGGACCCATTGTTGAGGTGATGTCTTTGCCGATCAAACAGATAACTGCCACTAATTATGGCTACAGTTGACACAAATGGTACACTAATTTATATGGACAAATGTTTTAATAACCAACTTATTGAAATCAATTGACAAACCTATTTTTATAGTAACACAATAAACGTTTGTATAGATACATAAATTAGTTATAATAAGTTATAAGTTGTTAAAAATAATAAGTTGTTAACTAAAATAATAGAAAATATAAATATGAGGACAAAATTACAAATCAAATGTAACGATAAATTTATAAATAAACAATAATTTTAAAGTAATTATTGGGTGTGTTATGAGATCGTGATTTTATCATTCTAATTGTTTTAATGATTATAACTATTGTAATAATTGTAACAATAACTATTGTAACAATATTATAATAATAATGTGTTAATAGTATTAATTAAATAAAATACAAGTTTATTTTTACTTTAAACATTTGGTATAAATTGTGTACAAAATATCAATACATCTAAACTGAAGAGCATTTGTGTCGATCGCCGGTCAATGGCTTAAGAGTTATTGTCATTTTGCGTATACCGCGGGTCACCGATAGAGTCAGCGTCTGGTCATCACTCATACTATTCAAGCGGTCCTCCAATTGGGTTATGAACGCAAAGATATCGGCGCCGATGTGTGTGATTACATCACCCATTTGTAGACCAGACCTAATACAACACAATTAAATACAAGAATTAATAAATATTAAAAATTATGTAAAATTTAAACTAAAAAACACCACAAACTCTGTGTTTTGATTCAATGGGTTATCCAAACCAATGTCCGTCACTTTAAACGACTTGATTTGTTTTTGAAGGAAAACACCCAACGATTTGCGGCTTTCCATCGAGTATTTA